GAAGATGCTCATCCCCAGAATCTTTTTGCGTATCTGTTTTCAAAGGATGTAGCTAAGAACGTTAACAACTTGATAGTTAAGAACACTATAACAACATGGAAGAAAATGTTATGGATTCCAAAACAACCAATATCACTCCCTAAAAACACACCCCTATGGAACAATACTTGGATAGCTTTCACCAATAAATTGGCCCACATGGAAAACTAATGGCATAGCAACCGTAAATGACGTGGTAATAGGAAATATTATTATTTCCATGACAGAATTAAAAAGCAATTTTGGATTGACCATTGTAGACATTTTCAAATATATGCAACTTAAACGTTTTATATCACAAAATTTAGACCTGGAAGCTTTAGGACATCAGAACAATGTTGAGGGAATCCTATTTGAGTCAGAAAAAGATACTCATATGATAGGCTCTCTGTAAGATTTTGTATATCTTACCTATCTAACTGACAATCTCTTAGAAAAAAATATAAACTATTGGAACCAAGACTTAAAAATAACTGATATTGGAGCAAGATGGAGGGAATGATAAAATCAAATCACATTTTATATGTCACATGCGCCGAATACAACAGGTGTAGTCCTTACAGTGAAATACTTACTTACAAGCTCTTAACCAACAATGCAGTTTTAAAACAATAAGTGTTAAGTAAAAAATAAAAAATAAATAATTACATATAATTAAAGAGCAGCAGTAAAATAACAGTAGCGAGGCTATATACAGTGGGTACCGGTAAAGAGTCAATGTGCGGGGGCACAGGTTTGTCGAGGTAATATGTACGTAGAGTTAAAGTGACTATGCACAGATAATAAACAGAGAGTGGCAGCAGCGTAAAAGAAGGGGGGGGGGGGGGGACAATGCAAATAGTCTGGGTAGCCATTTGATTAGCTGTTCAGGAGTCTTATGGCTTGGGGGTAGAAGCTGTTAAGAAGCCTTTTGGACCTAGACTTGGCGCTCCGGTACCGCTTGCCGTGCGGTAGCAGAGAGAACAGTCTATGACTAGGGTGGCTGGAGTCTTTGACCATTTTTAGGGCCTTCCTCTGACACCGCCTGGTATAGAGGTCCTGGATGGCAGGAAGCTTGGCCCCAGTGATGTACTGGGCCGTACGCACTAGCCTCTGTAGTGCCTTGCGGTCGGAGGCCGAGCAGTTGCCATACCAGGCAGTGATACAACCAGTCAGGATGCTCTCTGGTGCAGCTGTAGAACTTTTTGAGGATCTGAGGACCCATGCCAAATGTTTTCAATCTCCTGAAGGGGAATAAGCTTTGTCGTGCCCTCTTCACGACTGTCTTGGTGTGTTTGGACCATGATAGTTTGTTGGTGATGTGGACACCAAGGAACTTGAAGCTCTCAACCTGCTCCACTACAGCCCTGTTGATGAGAATGGGGGCGTGCTCAGTCCTCCTTTTCCTATAGTCCACATTTATCTCCTTTGTCTTGATCACGTTGAGGGAGAGATTGTTATCCTGGCACCACACGGCCAGGTCTCTGACCTCCTCCCTATAGGCTGTCTCATCGTTGTCTGTGATTAGGCCTACCACTGTTGTGTCGTCAGCAAACGTAATGATGGTGTTGGAGTCGTGCCTGGCCATGCAGTCATGGGTGAACAGGGAGTACAGGAGTGGACTGAGCACGCACCTCTGAGGGGCCCCCGTGTTGAGGATCAGTGTGGCAGATGTGTTGTTACCTACCCTTACCACCTGGGGGTGGCCCGTCAGGAAGTCCAGGATCCAGTTGCAGAGGGAGATGTTTAGTCCCAGGGTCCTTAGCTTAGTGATGAGCTTTGAGGGCACTATGGTGTTGAACGCTGAGCTGTAGTCAATTAATAGCATTCTCACGTAGGTGTTCCTTTTGTCCAGGTGGGAAAGGGCAGTGTGGAGTGCAATAGAGATTTCATCATCTGTGGATCTGTTGGGGCGGTATGCAAATTGGAGTGGGTCTTGGGTTCTGGTATAATGGTGTTGATGTGAGCCATGACCAGCCTTTCAAAGCACTTCATGGCTACAGACGTGAGTGCTACGGGTCTGTAGTCATTTAGGCAGGTTACCTTAGTGTTCTTGGGCAGAGGGACTATGGTGGTCTGCTTGAAACATGTTGGTGTTACAGACTCAGTCAGGGACATGTTGAAAATGTCACTGAAGACACTTGCAAGTTGGTCAGCGCATGCTCTGAGCACACGTCCTGGTAATCCGTCTGGCCCTGCGGCATTGTGAATGTGGACCTGTTTAAAGGTCTTACTCACATCGGCTACGGAGAGTGTGATCACACAGTCGTCCGGAACAGCTGATGCTCTCATGCATGCTTCAGTGTTGCTTGCCTCGAAGTGAGCGTATAACTAATTTAGCTCATCTGGGAGGCTCGTGTCACTGGGCAGCTCGCGGCTGTGCTTCCCTTTGTAGTCTGTAATAGTTTACATGCACTGCCCCATCCGACGAGAGTCGGAGCCGGTTTAGTACGATTCAATCTTAGTCCTGTATTGATGTTTGATGGTTCGTCGGAGGGCATAGCGGGATTTCTTATAAGCGTCCGGGTTAGAGTCTTGCTCCTTGAAACCGGCAGTGCTACCCTTTAGCTCAGTATGGATGTTGCCTGTAATCCATGGCTTCTGTTTGGGGTATGTACGTACAGTCACTGTTGGGACGACGTTATCGATGCACTTATTGATGAAGCCAATGAGTGATGTGGTGTAGTCCTCAATGCCATCGGAAGAATCCCGGAACATATTCCAGTCTGTGCTAGCAAAACAGTCCTGTAGCTTAGCATCTGCGTCATCTGACCTCTTCTTTATTGACTGAGTCACTGGTGCTTCCTGCTTTAGTTTTTGCTTGTAAGCAGGAATCAGGAGGATATAATTATGGTCAGATTTTCCAAATGGAGGGCGAGGGAGAGCTTTGTACGCAACTCTGTATGTGGAGTAAAGGTCTAGAGTTTTTTTCTCTCTCTGGTTGCACATTTAACATGCTGGTAGAAATTAGTTGAAACAGATTTAAGTTTCCCTGCATTAAAGTCCCCGGCCACTAGGAGCGCCGCCTCTGGATGAGTGTTTTCCTATTTGCTTATGGCCTTATAGAGCTCATTGAGTGCGGTCTTAATGCCAGCATCGGTTTGTGGTGGTAAATAGACAGCTCCGAAAAATATAGATGAAAACTCTCTTGGTAAATAGTGTGATCTACGTCTTATCATGAGATACTCTACCTCAGGCGAGCAAAACCTCGAGACTTCCTTAATATTAGATTTCGTGCACCAGCTGTTGTTTACAAATATACACAGACCTCCTTACCGGAGGCGGCTGTTCTATCTTGCAGATGCAGCGTAAACCCCGCCAGCTGTATGTTATCCATGTTGTCGGGGGGGGGGGGATTTTATCTCGTGCACTGTTCAGTAAAGGAGGAGGTAGGGAGTATAGGATGTAGGAGAAAGGAAGTTGTGTGGAGTAGACTACGGTTTGGGCACACAGGGTTGAATGCCATGTTGTGGATGATTGGGAGACATGAAACAGTTCTGTGTGATGAGTGTTTAGTGGAGGAAACTGTTGAGTATGTGTTGATATTTTGTGAACTGTAAGATGTAGATAGGGAGAGATTGTGTGAAAGGGTTCGAGAGGCTGGACGGGGTTTGGGTGGTGTAGTGGGGGGGAGGAAAGGGAAGTGGTCTTCAGGGCTCTATTTCAATTTCTTAGTGGACCAGGACTAAATAAGATAATTTAATGTAGGTGGGTCGTGACTGGCCTCACACTCCAGTACAGTAGGTGGCGATGTATGCACCTTAAAGGTTGGATGCGATCCGCCAACCCAATACCAAAGAAGAAGAAGAAGGTCAGCTGACTTCTAAAGAGGAGGGGAAAGCACTAGCAGCATAATTAGATAGTGTGTTGTAGAGCTAGCGAACCCTGAAATATCGCGGAGAAAAAGGGGACGTGAACCTAGGTGTGTGAGAGAAGACTGAGGTAAGATTGTAATTACGTTGAAGACAAACAAGTCTTAACATATTTAACAGTAAAAACAGTCTAGCTAGCTACCGGCGTTTATACCAGAGAGGCGCTAGCTAGTTAATGTTAGGCTGGCTGGCAGGCAGGCAGCTAGCTTAGTTAGCTAACTAACTATCTGTCTGTCTATTTTGTTGATTTCCCATCCTGTTTATCCCAAGCAGAAGGTCAACTATCCACTAAAGTTTTAAGTGTAGTTAGCAAGACATGGTGGAGTACACTGTAACGCACAACTGAAAACGTAAAGGGAGAATATAAAGAATTTATGAACTTGTCGAGAGTGCGAGCTATCTTTTCCGGTCAGGCAGACATCTTCTTGGCGGGGCAATAAAACCGTGAGTAAACCGCTTAACGTTAGTGGCTTCATGCCATGCACACAATGTCCGCCAAGTCAAACAACATCCTCTTTTCTTGGAAGGGAAATGACCTTGCTAATCTAGCTATATGTGTATCCAGCTAAGTAAAACGATGTTGTGCTGGCACGGGAAACTGTCTCGCCGTCTGTTACCTAGTCATGCACAGCTAGAATTCCAGGCTTGTCTTTAATTCCATGCATAGTATTCATACGCCTCAACATATTATAAACTACAGCAAATGAATAATACGTTATTTGTCCCCCACGGCACTGGGCATAATCAGGAAATTGTCTGTTCTTCAAGCCAATACCATCAACCGTACATATGAACCTGAAACCACTCCCATACTAGTCATAGCTAGCTACTGGGAATTGTGCAAAACATTCCGACTGTAACTACAATAGCTCTCATTATCATATCTAAGCTACTAATCATTAATCCTACTTTGGATGGGAGGTGACAAATGAGTGTGTACACACATCACCATTGTGACTGAGTCATCACTAAGTGGGAGTTAATATAGGATACTCTGCTGGAAACATCCTATATATATGGGTCGTTCAGAATCACCATTATTTGCAAAGAACATTTGCATGTACCAGGAATTTGACCTGATGAAATGTCATTTCACCCTCTTGCTTTTCATCAGGTGGGGTTTGTTTTCACCATGGCCAGTTTGGACTAAGGAGCAGCCAGCCACGATGATCGGAGGACTGTTCATCTACAACCATAAAGGGGAGGTCCTTATCTCTCGCGTCTACCGCGATGACATAGGGTAAGTGAGGTGGTAATTGTTACGATGAGGGGAGAAGGAGATGGGAAATAGTGTCCATCTGGTTGGCCTGAGGTAAATTGGGGAGATTAATAAGATTTAAGATCACTTTATTTGTAAATTGTACTCAAGGTCCAACTGAAATTTGACTTCCACTTTATCCCAACCCCTCTGAAAGACACACACACAGGTTGGAGCAGTGGGCTACACACTGGGCGCCCGTGGAGCAGTTGTTGAGCTGGCAAGCTAGGTGTCTTGCTCAAGGGCACGACGGCTGGCAATGGAATCTAGGATTTGATACCAACAACTCCTAGCTTGCCAGCTCACTTCCCGCCAGCTCTGCCTTGAAGTGATCACTGAGGTTCTAATATGAACTGATCAGTGTAAGTTATCACACAGCTTTTACCTGTCGAGCCCTGTCAGATCAGGTTTGCTTCAGGGGAGGGATTGGGGAAGGATGTATTTGCAATAAATTGGTCAAAATGTTAAACCTTGTATTTTTCCATGTAGACACATCCTATGTGTTTCAATCAAGTCAACTACAGTGCATTTGGAAAGTATTCAGACCCCTTGACCTTTTCCACATTTTGTTACGTTACTACCTTATTCTAAAATTGATTAAATATTTGTTTTCCTCGTTAATTTACACACAATACTCCATAATGACAAAGTGAAAACAGGTTTTTAGAAATGTTAGCAAATGTATTAAGAATAGAAAAACAGAAATACCTTATTTACATAAGTATTTAGACCATTTGCTATGAGTCTTGAAATTGAGCTCCGGTGCATCCTGTTTCCATTGATCATCCTTGAGATGTTTCTACAACTTGATTGGAGTCCACCTGTGGTAAATTCAATTGATTGGACATGATTTGGAAAGGCGCACACCTGTCTATATAACGTCCCACAGTTGACAGTGCATGTCAGAGGAAAAACCAAGCCATGAGGTCGACGGAATTGTCCGTAGAGCTCCGAGACAGGATTGTGTCGGCACAGATCTGGTGAAGGGTACCAAAATAATTCTGCAGCATGGAAGGTCCCCAAGAACACAGTGGCCTCCATTCTTAAATGAAAGAAGTTTGGAACCACCAAGACTCTTCCTAGAGCTGGCCGCCTGGCAAAACTGAGCAATAGGGGGAGAAGGGCCTTGGTCAGGGAAGTGACCAAGAACCCGATGGTCACTCTGACAGAGCTCTAGAGTTCCTCTGTGGAGATGGGAGAACCTTCCAGAAGGACAACCATCTCTGCAGTACTCCACCAATCAGGCCTTTATGGTAGAGTGGCCAGACAGAAGCCACTCCTCAGTATAAAAGGCACATGACAGCCCGCTTGGAGTTTGCCAAAAGGCACCTAAAGACTCAGACCATGAGAAACAAGATTGAACTCTTTGGCCTGAATGCTAAGTGTCACATCTGGAGGAAACCTGGCACCATCCCTAAGGTAAAACGTGGTGGCAGCATCCTGCTGTGGGGATGTTTTTCAGTGGCAGGGACTGGGAGACTAGTCAGGATTGAGGGAAAGATGAACGGAGCAAGGTACAGAGAGATCCTTGATGAAAACCTGCTCCAGAGCGCTCAGGACCTCAGACTGGGGCGACGGTTCACCTTCCAACAGGACAATGACACTAGGCACACAGCCAAGACAACGCAGGAGTGGCTTTGGGACAAGTCTCTGAATGTCATTGAAGTGGCCCAGCCAGAGCCCGGACTTGAACCCGATCTAGCATTTCTGGAGAGACCTGAAAATAGCTGTGCAGCGACGCTCCCCATCCAACCTGACAGAGCTTGAGAGGATCTGCAGAGAAGAATGGGAGAAACTCCCCAAATACAGGTGTGCCAAGCTTGTAGCGTCATACCCAAGAAGACTCGAGGCTGTAATCGCTGCCAAAGGTGCTGAGTGAAGGGTCTGAATATGTAAATGTGTTTATTTATGAATTCTTTGCAGAAATGTCTAAGAACCTGTTTTTGCTTTGGCATTATGGGGTATTATGTGTAGATTGATGACATAAAATAACAATTTAATCAATTTTAGAATAAGGCTGTAACTTAACAAAATGTGGAGAAAGTGAAGGGGTCTGAATACTTTCCAAATGCACAATTCACTAAGCTTGTCTGATGCTTTAAGCACAATGTTTTATTGAATAATTAAGAAACACATGACTAGATGGAGTCCGACCAGCAATTGATTTGTTTTTGCCGGGCCGGGCTCAGACTTGCTGCGCTGTGTAAAAAATTAATAAGACAGACAGCGAGTGACTGTGTGACTAGCACCCGTTGTCTCTCTCTCCTTCCTGCTGCAGTGACCACAGAACATCAAAGTGTTTATTGAGCCGTCTGTGTTGCTTAAGCTGCAACATAATTACAGCAATTTATGACTGAAAAGTTTTGTTACTGAAATCCCTAATTTGTTTTGGAAAAACATTCCCTCTACCAGTGCTCTCTTTACGTGACGCATGTATGCATCGCATGCACGTGACCAATAGGGCCTTACCTATAGCATATCATAATCACATCAATAAATTGGTTATAACAAACTCCGAACACCATAACAGCAAAATGGATGCAGAGGACGTGACAAATAAACTTGAAACAGGGGAATGTTTACTGGTTGCTCAGGAGGTAAAGGGGAAGTCAGATATGTGGAATAAATTTGACTAGTTGTGGAAAATACTGGAGATCAAGAAAAATAAGGTAAGGAGCAAACGCTGCGTGCATATTATGTGTGCCAAACAGCTGCTGTATAGATTACAATATAATTTTTCTAACCGTTTGGAACAATGTAAACAACATAATACATTATAAGCGTACCAGAGAGTCTGTTCTAACGTTTTTTTGTTGAGCCTTTATTACAGCAAAAACAGTCACATTCATTTGTGAATGCAATTTCCAAAATATAACGGTTTATTTATTGTTTAACCTAATTATTCAAGGCTCACTTTATTTTATTTTGAAACTAAAATGCTTGATTGCATTTCAAATCATGAATGACCCGTATGCTGTGTGATGACATGAACAAATTAATGATTGATACTGTAGCCTATATAAGTATTGAAATATAGGCCTAAGTAAGTTACGGTATTAAGACTAAACAGTATGTGCTCTTAGGCCTACAGCTCAACGGTGGTTATACAAGGTTGCTATACTAAACCTACTAATGATAATGGCATTACTTATTATTATAATGATGATGATAATAATGAGATCAAGAAAAAGGAGCGTTTTTTATTACTATAAATGTTATTTTTCCGACTTTTTGGAACAGTGTAAACAACACTAAATTATAAGTAATACCAGAGAGGCTGTTCTAACGAAGAAAAAAAGTGTAAAGCCTTTATTACAGCAAAGCAAAGATTAAAAACAGCTGAATTTGTGAAATTGTTTACTTGACATGTTGTTGCGCGAGGCTTCGTGCTCACGGAATCAGTAGGCTATTAAACAAACAGGCAACAGAAGCAGAATCTGTCTTATTTCTGTAGATATACACTACCGGTCAAAAGTGTAAACACCTACTCATTCAAGGATTTTTATTTTATTTTTAGGATTTTCTACATTTGTAGAGAAATAGTGAAGACAACTATGAAATAACACATGGAATCATGTAGTAACCAAAAAAGTGTTAAACAAATCAAAATATATTTTATATTTGAGGTTCTTCAAATAGCCACCCTTTGCCTTGATGACAGCTTTGCGCACTCTTGGCATTCTCTCAACCAGCTTCATGATGTAGTCACCTGGAATGCATTTCAATTAACAGGTGTGCCTTCTTAAAAGTTAATTTGTGGAAGCCAATCAGTTGTGGTGTGACAAGGTAGGGCGGGGTATACAGAAGATAGCCCTATTTGGAAAAATACCAAATCCATATTATGGCAAGAACAGCTCAAATAAGCAAAGAGAAATGACAGTCCATCATTACTTTAAGACATGAAGGTCAGTCAATACGGAACATTTACAGAACTTTAAAAGTTTCTTCAAGTGCAGTCGCAAAAACCATCAAGCACTATGATGAAACTGGCTCTCATGAGGACCGCCACAGGAATGGAAGACCCAGAGTTACCTCTGCTGCAGAGGATACGTTCATTAGAGTTACCAGCATCAGAAATTGCAGCCCAAATAAATGCTTCAGAGTTCAAGTCACAGACACATCTCAACATCACCTGTTCAGAGGGGACTGCGTGAATCAGGCCTTCATGGTCGAATTGCTGAAATAAACCACTACTAAAGGACACCAATAATAATAAGAAGAGACTTGCTTGGGCCAAGAAACACAAGCAATGGACATTAGACCAGTGGAAATTTGTCCTTTGGTCTGATTAGTCCAAATTGGAGATTTTTGGTTCCAACCGCCGTGTCTTTGTGAGACGCAGTGTTGGTGAACAGATGATCTCTGCATGTGTATTTCCCACCGTAAAGCTTGGAGGAGGAGGTGTTATGGTGTTGGGGTGCTTTGCTGGTGACAATGTCTGTGATTTATTTAGAATTCACTTAACCAGCATGGGTACCACAGCATTCTGCAGCGATACGCCATCCCATCTGGTTTGGGCTTAGTGGGAGTATCATTTGTTTTGTTTTTCAACAGGACAATGACCCAACACACCTCCAGGCTGTGTAAGGGCTATTTTACCAAGAAGGAGAGTGATGGAGTGCTGCATCCGATGACCTGACCTCCACAATCCCCCGACCTCAACCAAATTGAGATGGTTTGCAATGAGTCAGTCCGCGGAGTGAAGGAAAAGCAGCCAACAACTGCTCAGCATATGTGGGAACTCCTTCAAGACTGTTGGAAAAGCATTCCAGGTGAAGCTGGTTGAGAGAATGCCAAGTGTGCAAAGCTGTCATCAAGGCAAAGGGTGGCTATTTGAAGAATCTCAAATATAAAATATATTTTGATTTGTTTAACATTTATTTTAGTTAGTACATGATTCCGTATGTGTTATTTAATAGTGTTGATGTCTTCACTATTATTCTACAATTGTAGAAAATAGTAAAAAATAAAGAAAAACCCTTGAATGAGTAGGTGTTCTAAAACTTTTGACCGGTAGTGTATATGGATGATTTATAAAGCCAGGCACATTTAACAGTTAGGCTATTGATTATAGACATAAAGTTGGTTTCCTGTCTCCTCACTTTTCTCAGACAAGGCAAGGGCTGTTTTCTCATCTCCACATTCTGCTGCTGCCTCCACCACATAGTTCTCAACACCAATATGCTGGTTAACTTTGCTATTATGCACATAGCAACATGGTCTAGGAAAAGGAGCCAATTCAACAGCGCATTGATGTGTTTCAGAACTGCGGACAGCGACCACTATCCAACGCGGGAGAAAGCGCATTTGTTATAAAATAAAATAGTTTTTATTAGTGTTGCACCATTGATCTTATGTAATATAACAATATACAATTTCAGTAGCACATGTCTTAGACTGATGGACTGTGCCATCCCACGGCCTCCACAATGGATTAGTCCACTCAGACCGGTGTCTTGTACACCATGATATTTTGTATTAATTTTTTGCTACTGCTCGACTAAAGAAAATCTCGGTCGACCAACAGACTATCGACCAAGCAATCGACCAGTTGACTAAATGGGGTCAGCCCTGATAAATAAATAAATATATCATTTTTATTAGTTAAATTATATATTGACTAGTGTAATGCGGCCCCGTGTAGCTCAGTTGGTAGAGCATGGCGCTTGCAACGCCAGGGTTGTGGGTTCGTTTCTCACGGGGGGCCAGTATGAAAATGTATGCAATCACTAACTGGAAGTCGCTCTGGATAAGAGCGTCTGCTAAATGACTAAAATGTAAAATGTAATGCCATTCAAGTTATTGGTATTTTCCTCCAATAGGTGATGGAGTGTGTGTAAAAATATACACAAATAACAAAATGGAACAAGTATTCTTAGTTCATATTGCGTCTGAGAAATGTTGGGAATGTTTTATCGTAACCTTGGTTGTCAGATGAAAATATTAGAAAAACGTACTCTAAATTGACTCTTTGATAAACAAAACATAACTCATCCAACAGGAAGATTTCAACAGATGGGTCGACTGTAGAACGGTAGGTAAATTATTTAGCACCCACCAAAGAAAATAATTGAGCTAATAGCCCGACTATATCATCTTGGGGATAATCGCTATTGTATCAGGTCTCAGACAATGCAAGCTCTCTGCATTAGCAAATGCTCACCCAGCTATCTAACCGAACCAGTACAGCTAGGATTTATGCAGAATCAATACATTCTACTGCCAAGTCTCTAACCGAACCAGTACAGCTAGGATTTATGCAGAATCAATACATTCTACTGCCAAGATCTTCCAGATAAGACTCAACACATTCAAGCTGCTTAAGATTTGAAGACAAGTTTAACACTGCATTTGGTTGCCGAGAGTATTCCTTTTCCATGGATGGTGTTTCAACACCATTTTACTTGCTCTGTGTACATGCACAAAAATGTCTGTGTGCATTTTGTCTCATTCTCTCTTTTACATCATCTCTCTTTATCCGTTTGCCATTTCCCTCCATATCTCCGTCTTTGCCACTGTAGGAATAGATAAGCAATGCACCAGCCTTTCGAGCATGTCCCCTGACCCATGGCAACCAGTCACTGACTCGCAATGAATGACCTCTGACCCACAGCAACTACCTGATGACCCTTTCAGCATGTCACCTGACATATCAGTGACCAAAGAACAAAGTTAATTATTGCAACCAACTAATGCCCTACTGATTTTATACACCTGTCAGCAACGGGTGTGGCTGAAATAGACAAATTCACTAATTTAAGGGGTGTCCACATACTTTTGTGTGTGTATATATAATGACCTCCTTAATGGACATTGCCTTCTGAAAAAACAGCAGGACAGACCCTGTTAAATGAGCATGTATGGTACCAGTGCCCCTTCCGTCTCTACCTCCATCTGTCTTAACTAGTGCAGTCTGACTCTGCAGAGTGCCTAATCTAAAATTGGTTCCAGAGATTCATATTTTTGGGAATCGTTTCCCTGGATCGGCTCTGGTTCCAAATAAATAAAGGTATGATTCACTACTAGGCAGTAGCTTTGTGGTCAATATCATTTTTACTGTCAAGCTCACAGAAGTTGTGGAACCGGCACCTAAGGAACTATTCCAAAATATCACTGACTGGGACTCTGCAGTTTTGTCTGGACATGCTGCCTCCTCTGTAGTAAGCCTAGATATTTATACATCCCCAACAGATCCCTAAAGCACTCTACCTCCCCACTAATCGTCACCCTCTAAACAGAAGATTTCTCTCTCACTGCCTAAATGGTCAAGTCAGTTTGGGACAATTCAGTCATATTTCAGCTCTCATACAAGTTTAATATGTGCTGTCCTTGGCAAAGGGTACCATTAGCATGTCCGGAGTGTTGCTTTTTTTGGCAGCCGTCTTTTCTGTTCTACCAGGAACTTGGATGTCAAGTCGACGGTCTGAAAAGGGAATGTATGGTAGGTAGTGTAGTTGACAGTGTGTGACTATCCTTTTGAAAGCCTCAAGGAGACTGGTAATTTATACACATTACTTTTTTATTTATTTAACCTTTATTTAACCAGGAAAAGCCCATTGAGACCCAGAGTCTCTTTTTCAAGGGAGACCTGGCCAAGAAGGCAGCAACAATCAATACATTATAGAATTAAAACATACAACAATACAACTCAACAACATGATCCAGCCTAAAAAAAGCATTTACACTCCTCTGTAACAGTCTCCCATCAACATTTTAAATTCATTCAGTGGCACTATCTAGATGAAGCATGGATTGTAGACTATTCCATGCCTCTGGTGCACAAGACGAGAAGGCAGTCTTGCCTAATACTGTAAATGTCCTAGGGACTTTAAGTATCAACCACCTAGCAGACTGGGTCTGGTAACTGCTGGGTGGTGAAGGAGACCAGACTACAGTAACAACCACCTAGCAGACCAGGTCTGGTAACTGCTGGGTGGTGAAGGAGACCAGACTACAGTAACAACCACCTAGCAGACCAGGTCTGGTAACTGCTGGGTGGTGAAGGAGACCAGACTACAGTAATAACCACCTAGCAGACCAGGTCTGGTAACTGCTGGGTGGTGAAGGAGACCAGACTACAGTAATAACCACCTAGCAGACCAGGTCTGGTAACTGCTGGGTGGTGAAGGAGACCAGACTACAGTAACAACCACCTAGCAGACCAGGTCTGGTAACTGCTGGGTGGTGAAGGAGACCAGACTACAGTAACAACCACCTAGCAGACCAGGTCTGGTAACTGCTGGGTGGTGAAGGAGACCAGACTACAGTAACAACCACCTAGCAGACCAGGTCTGGTAACTGCTGGGTGGTGAAGGAGACCAGACTACAGTAACAACCACCTAGCAGACCGGGTCTGGTAACTGCTGGGTGGTATATGTGCGTATCAAATCAAGAGCGTGTTATTATGAGTTTGCTTTTGTTGTGATCAACTGCAGATGGAGGTACATTCCTCGTCCCTCTTCCTAACATGAAAGTCTCTCTCTACCTCCTTTTCACAGGCGCAACGCGGTAGACGCATTCCGTGTGAATGTGATCCATGCCCGGCAGCAGGTGCGCTCTCCAGTGACCAACATTGCACGTACCAGCTTCTTCCATGTCAAGCGCTCCAACATCTGGCTGGCGGCGGTCACCAAGCAGAATGTCAACGCTGCCATGGTGTTTGAGTTCCTCTACAAGATGTGCGACGTCATGGCCGCCTACTTTGGCAAGGTCAGCGAAGAGAACATCAAGAACAACTTTGTGCTGATCTACGAGCTGCTCGACGGTAACTGTAACTTCACACACTCATGCCATTTGGATCTTCTTTCCTCTCTCTTACCCTCTTCATCATTTATTCATGGTTTGGTTTCTTTGTTTTGTGTGCAGAGATCCTGGACTTCGGGTATCCCCAGAACTCTGAGACAGGAGCACTAAAGACCTTCATCACCCAGCAGGGCATCAAGGGCCAGGTGAGGATGAGGAGTATCTCCTTGTCACTGCTGATAAGCCCTGCAATGGGCTCTGTAGCAGAACTGTGTGCTGTCTGTGTTCCAACTGTTTTGTAACGGTTTCTCCTATCGTTTCTTCTTTCTCTGGAATTGTGGACACGGCCGGATGCAGCATCAGGTAATGATGGGCCTCATTTGGGCTGTTCATTTCAGTTCTATTTGGGACATTGGGCCTGGTTTCAACCGAACGCTGTTTTTTCCACTTCATATCCTGTTGATCTCCCTCGTTCTCTCTCTCCCTCTCCTTTTCCAGACAAAGGAAGAGCAGTCTCAGATCACTAGTCAGGTGACGGGGCAGATTGGTTGGCGTCGCGAAGGCATCAAGTATCGACGCAATGAGCTCTTCTTGGATGTGCTGGAGAGTGTCAACCTGCTTATGTCGCCTCAAGGTGAATGTTGGTCATAACACTACAAAGTAAATGGCCTAAACAGGGGTTGAATATGCTAAGAGCTAAAATATCTAGGGGAAGTGTAGTCAAGTCATGTTTCAATTGGAGAATCTCAATGGCATACTCCTCACGTCCTCCTGCTCAAAACCCATTGGATGAGAGAGCCAGAGGTCCCTCCCCTCTGACCTTCTCTTCCAATGGGTTTTGAGGAGAGGACACAAGGAGTATGCAATTGAGAAAAGGCCCTAATGATTGACCCTTTCAATTTGACCCCCTCCAGGTCAGGTCCTCAGTGCCCACGTGTCCGGCCGTGTGGTAATGAAGAGCTACCTCAGCGGAATGCCGGAGTGCAAATTTGGCATGAACGATAAAATTGTCATTGATAAGGCGGGTAAAGGCGGGGTCACTGATGAGGTGGGAAAGAGGTGAGTAAGAGGGGCTGTGTTTGGACGGACTCAGGGTTGGGGTTTATTCCATTTCAGTTCAGGAAGTAAACACAAATTGAAATGTCAGTTTAGTTCCTGAATTGAAGAGCATTTGACCCCAACTCTGGACAGAGCTTGTCATTAAAGGTCTGGAGCTTGTATGTCTCAATGTATGTCTCAATAGATTTTCAACTTGGACTATTCAGACTGATAGGCAGTGGTGTTGTGACTTAACCTTCTGTGTAGGAAATAGGAATATGATTTCAGTCCCTGGACTAAGACTTCTATATAGAGCTTGGGTTGAGACGTACCATTTTATTTCCTTTTGATACATCTCCTTTCTTTCCCTCTCTTGTTCTGTGCTGTACCTCAGTGATTTAGGGGGAGGAGGAAGGTACTGTATTGATATCTGGCCTTACTCCCATACCTCCCCGCTGTCTTGTCTATGGTGTCATGAATGGCGACTGCTTTACTAAGCATTTGAGGAGGCTCCCAATATTTACTGGAGTTACTGTATTAATTTGTGCTTCAGCAGTCGACTAGTGTGACTGCTAATTGATGAGAATCTGACTAGCCTCCTCAAATCTTTAGTGGACTGCCCAATGGTTGTTTATTTCTTAGTCATTAGTGAGAGTATTAGGTTTAATATTACCCACATTCCCACCTGCTTGACCCTTAACCCTGACCCAGTCTTTGACAGGGATGGTGATGGTTAGCATCCACTGGGTTACTGTGTTGCCATGGTGTCCTTTTTTCTGTGTCTATATGTGTTGTGAGTGTGTTTGTGTGTGGTGGTGACGTGTTAGGAAGTGGGGCACGTAGAGTAGTGCGTTTTTAAATGACTGTTTGGTTTGTGTGTTAGTTTGAATGTGTCCGTATGAACAGGTGTGTATGGGTGCATAGACGTTCAACCCTTCTCCCTCTGCCCCTGTAGTACCAGTGGTAAGCAGTCCATAGCCATCGACGACTGTACGTTCAACCAGTGTGTGCGTCTCAGTAAGTTTGACTCAGAGCGCAGCATCAGCTTCATTCCCCCAGATGGAGAGTATGAGCTCATGAGGTAAGTGTGCCACAGGCTAAACTTCAACCTGTATTGACCCTGTGTGCGCGCATGTTTGTATTTGTAAGTAATCTCGCTTTCTGTGTGCATTTATGTAGATGTGCCCAATGATTTGAGCCGCCCTCAATCTTTGGACGTCTTTGTATCCTGTTGCCCCCTGTGTGTGTCTGTTTGACATGACTTTGGTGTTGTTTTACCAGGTACCGCACCACTAAAGACATCATCCTACCTTTCCGAGTCATTCCGCTGGTCAGGGAGGTGGGCCGCACCAAGCTGGAGGTCAAAGTGGTCATCAAGTCTAACTTCAAACCCTCGCTACTGGCCCAGAAAATTGAGGTAGCTATTCAGCCTTTGTCTTTTTAGATTGTGGATCGTAACCTTGGGGTAAACCTGTTCCTCTTTTGAAGTTACAGTATGTTTTGTCTCATAAACCTTGGAAGTTTTTGCTTGGTCTGTTAATTGCACCTATTGCTATTCTAACAAGGTCGGGTTTAGTCTGCTGTATGAGAATTTGTTCATCATGTTATAACTGTTAACTTGTTTTCCGTTGCTCCAGGTGCGCATTCCCACGCCGCTCAACACCAGCGGTGTCCAGGTGATCTGCATGAAGGGCAAGGCCAAGTACAAGGCCAGCGAGAACGCCATCGTCTGGAAGTGAGTGTTATTTCAACCCTCTGCTTCTCCATCACAGTACCCAAGATCACTCTCTTGTTTTGTATCCCCTTTTGTATCTGATGTGTGTTTCCTGCATGTAGGATCAAGCGCATGGCTGGGATGAAGGAATCTCAGATCAGTGCTGAAATCGAGTTGCTGCCCACCAATGATAAGAAGAAGTGGGCGCGTCCTCCTATCTCCATGAACTTTGAGGTAAGGTTGCAGTCACACACACACACACCCTCTCGGCAGCAATGACAAATGTAGCATTTTAGCATACCGTATTAATATGCAGTTGTGTGGAACTCGTAACCTGGATATCTTTGTCCCCCTCTTCTCCTCAGGTTCCATTTGCCCCCTCTGGGCTGAAGGTGCGTTACTTGAAGGTGTTTGAGTCCAAGCTGAACTACAGTGATCATGATGTTGTCAAATGGGTGCGCTACATCGGTCGAAGCGGCATCTACGAGACTCGCTGCTAATGTTAGAGATCGAGCCGAGGAGAGGCATACCAAGCATTCTCCCTCCACACTTTACATATTTTCTTCTGTCCCTCTCTTCTCTTCATCTCTATTTTCCCTCCATCCCAATCTCTTCCCTTTATTCCTCAATGTTGGGGATGAATTTGAAAAACTGGCATAACGTACAGATACTGTATATGCAAAATGTGAACCATAGTATGGCATCTCTAACTATGATTAAAGGTAGACTCAGCGATTATGACGTAGATGCAGAAAGTAAACAGTAGTGGGTCAATTTCTGCAACAACTAAGCGTTGAAGAGCAAGGCTCAACTTCTGCTATTTTGGTGCCCTGGCTACCACGCTGTGAACCCCTGCACTGTGTGAGAGCGAAGTGTTGCATCTTGCTCATCTCAATATCGCCAGTGCTGCTCATGGCAACATCACTTCGATGAGTCGACCTTTTAACTGGCAAACAAACTGCTCCTGTATAGAAAGAATAGACAATGTGAAAACCGGCAGGGGTGGTATTAAAGGGTCCATGGGGTCTTTGGAGGAAAGCAGAGGGTTCAGTGTTACTGTCCAGTCTGCAGTTTTTATTATAGGCTCAAGGTCTTTGAAGTGTCCCCTTGAGATCCATCGTTTTTTCTAAATGGCCTTTTGAGTCCAACAATCTTCTCTTACCTAACGAGTTCCTTTCTCACCTCTGAACTGCATCTAGTGAGCTTATTGATAATTGGCTGTTTGGAAATGGCAGTTTGTGTTTCATTGGGTGGAACGCATCCTGAGCACTAGTGGCTTGGCGCGGATCTGCCTTTTCAGAGCCCCTGTGATGAGGTCGCCCCCCCCGGTGGTCACATTGCCTTGTCTGGCTCTCCTTGTTTGTAAAACCTGGTGACTGTCCAGTAAAATCCTATCATGTAACCAGCTCTCGTCGTCTTTGTTTTCACTTGACTGTTTGCAGCATGGGGATTTGTAAGTGTTTATAAACTGGGTGGTTCGAGTCCTGAATGCTGATTAGCTAACAGCCGTGGTATATTATACCGTATACCACGGGTATGACAAAACATTTATTTTTACTGCTCTAATAACATTGGTAACCAGTTTATAATAGCAATAAGGCACCTCAGAGGTTTGTGGTATATGACCAATATACCACGGCTAAGGGCTGTATCTAGGCACTCGGCATTGCGTCGTGCGTAAGAACAGCCCTTAGCCGTGGTATATTGGGCATATACCACACCCCCTCGGGCCTTATTGCTTAACACACACTTTCTGTGTTGGGTTGCAATCTACATGAACACGTGCTAGTAAAGGGTAGGTCGTGTTCCAGGCCGACTACATTCTTTGCATTGCATCAACCAATGGTTGTGTGACATGTCATCGAATGCGCAGTCAGGCATCAGATTGCTATATCATGTGGTTACCTGATATGACCAACACCTATCTAGGTGTTGTGAAATCTAGAATGCGTCTGCAATGTAGTCATACTGGAACGCAGCCAATGAGGGGATTCGATTAAGCTGGCCCGGGTGGGCTGAGTTTGTACCGGGTGTGAAGTGATTGCATTAATTTTGAAATAGAAATGTGTTCAAAGCTGATGGTGAAGTCGGTTCAAAACAAAGTGACGCATGTCAAGGACGTAGAGTAATGACTTGGGATACATGGTTTCACATGCATAAATGTTTGCTCTTGATAAAAAAAATTGCATACATGCTGTGTCTGCCTTGCCAAGTAAAACTAGTTTGAAAATACATTATGGAAAATATGTTTCTGAATGATGCACCTTGTTGACAATATGACCTGGTGTAGATTACTGTTGATTTGAGAAGGGTCACCATAGCCCAGTTTACCCTGATTCAGCCTAATCTATCTCCCTCAATAGATTACAAAACCCAAAGGATAGGTCCAGCTGATGCACTGAGCAGGGTTCTCCGACTTGAAATGTGTGGCTGGAACAAAAGCCAGGCTGACCAGCTGCATTGGAGTTTGAGACCTCTGGTCTGGAGTGTAGTAAATGCGTCTTGGCTGTGTGATCACCCGGCTATTATCAAGCACATTGTAGTACAGCATGACCAGGGATTGAGGATGAAACTCAGAGCCATGGCTTTTTTTTTTTGTTTAGAAATTGTACACGGTTGTGGTTAACTTTTTTTATTACATGTTCTACTCGTTCCCTGGTTTCTGTCAGCCCTGCACATTCAGGAGCTAAACAAATTCAACCCAAACAGTAAAATAATGCTTAAAACAATGTTATTGGATCCATGTACATTTGTATCTGGCAGGTAGTGGAAGGGTAGTATTGGCTTCACATAGACAACTCTTGCCACCAAGTGATCTATAGCCCATGCCCCTAATGAGAAGCAATTTTAACTGATAGATTTTAAAGATCCCAAAGAATCAGTCCAGTAAAATGTAAGTTGATGGATAGACGATTCAATATGCTTACAATACTACACCTAAAATAATCCCATATTTCAGCTAGCCTACTGTATATAGGAAATAAAATAAACACTCCTGGTTTGCCACCATGGAGACAAAGACCACACCTAAAGACTAGTAAGGGGTGGGTCAACAGCCAAAATCAAGCGATGCCCAACGACAGGAGGGAGAGATGTAAGCGGGATAAAGTTGTATTCCATGTACAGTCGTTTTTTAAATTAAGTCTTGTTATTGGGCACATTATCTGTTTTTTCGGATTTGGCTAAAACCTCCTGAAAATAAGTTCTCTCCTTTGAGCCCTACTGAACGAGATCCAGTTTTGTAGTTCAAACGCTGGGCACAATACTTTAAAAACCGCTGTCCAAAGACTGACCTCGAGTCAGACTATCGAAACAAACTAAGTATTATTATAATGTGCAAAAAGGTCAAGCTGAGTCCAGATCAGTCCATGGATGGAGGACATTGACATGCCTACACAAAAACTAGCAGTTTACACACACATGCACATACTCAGACACACTCGGGGGGGGAGTTGTCAAGGGACTGATGGTTCCTACATTGCAAAAAAAAAAGGACTGATCTGAGAAGGAATTCAACAGTGCACCAAACACCCCTCAACACAATAGGGGGACACAACTGAATTCCCTACTAAACTCAAGGTTAACAAAATAAAATCACCTCGCTAAGATTAACATCCTGAGTAGGAAGCGTGCATCAAAAATAATATCTGGAAAATGTTCCTATAAGTGAGAAATTATTGATAATATGAAAGTGACAAACGTAACATGAAGGGTAATGAACACATCGCTCCCAATGCCTCCAGTGACTAGTGGTTACTGACCGTTAATAAAATGAAAAGATGTGACAGCTACAATGTGCATTCAGAAATGCAACATCAGATGTCAAAAACAAAGTGCGCATTAACCCCCCTCTGAATGACTAATGAAGTGGTACAGTCCATAAGAAATGGACACCAGCAATTGAAGAAATTAAACGGGTTGAGCAAATGAACTGCGGGACAATGCTATACAGATATAAGTGGACATACTGATGATTGGTTGGAGGGGTTGAACGCTGATGCTGTTGATGGACCGAGGGGCGGGATTAACGGGAACCCTAATTTTCGTCAGACTCGTCATCATCCTCGCTGATGGGGTATCCCCGTGCTGCGCTGTGGTGGGGTGGAGGGGAGGGTGAGGCCTTGTTTAAGAAGGGCGAGGGGGAGCGCTCGCGGGTGGGGCTGCTGCTGGGGCTCTGTCTGGGGCTGATGGCCTGCAGCATCCGGCCCCTGCCCTCCTTCAACATGTGCTTCTACAGAGAGAGGTGGCATCTCAGTCAAGATTCCAAGTTCATTTGTTGTTCTTAGGCTATAAAACAAATCCCATTGATCTACAACACAAATCTTCCATGGAATGCTACACTATCACTATATTATTCCCCAGAGCAGGAAATGAGGATTGCCACGAAATACACCATTCTAGTCTACATTACACAGACAGAACAAAAGAGAAGTTCTCACCAGTGCTCCCTCAGGGCCGAACATCTGCAGAAAGTTGCCAATGAACTCCCGGGACTTCTCCTCCCACTTCTGGATGAGGTCGATGCTCTTGTTCTCCACCTTCTGCACAAACTCTTTACTCTTCTCCTCTACGTCGCGCACCTTCCTCTTCACCTTGTCCACACGCTCCTGCAGGTGGTACTTCTTCTCCTGAAAGACAGGGGCACAGTGTCATAAACCCAGACCTTGGCATGCGAGGCTGCACTAAACTAGTAAACAAGTCATGTTTCCTAGCAGCTTTTATTCAAATACAACCTTTTTTATAAATAAAATTATCCCCCTTTTCGTGATATCTAATTGGTAGTTACAGTCTTTTCCCATTGCTGCAACTCCCCTACGGACTCGGGAGAGGTGAAGGTCAAGAGCCATGCGTCTTCCGAAACACGACCCTGCCAAGGCGCACTGCTTCTTGACACACTGCTCGCTTAACCCGGAAGCCAGCCGCACCAATGTGTCGGAGGAAACACCGTACAGCTGGCAACCGAAGTCAGCGTGCAGATGCCCAGCCCGCCACAAGGAGTCGCTAGAGCGCGTTGGGACAAGGAAATCCCGGCCGGCCAAACCCTCCCCTAACCCGGACGACGCTGGGCCAATTGTGCGCCGCCTCATTGGTCTCCCGGTCACGGCCGGCTGTGACAGCCTGGGATCGAACCCGGGTCTGTAGTGACGCCTCAAGCACTGCGATGCAGTGCCTTAGACCGCTGTGCCACTTGGGAGGCGCCCCCATTACAAATAGACCTATAGCTACCTCTCACAACTACTGCTCCTTATGACTCAAAAGTCATTACATTATCATCACAACCAAATACCATCATTACTACTAATAAAAATGATAGTAATGTGAAGTGTTACATTGATGAAGCTGACGTTGAGCTCCTTGGCCGTGTAGCCGCGTTGCAGATTGCGTCTCACGTACACGTCGTAGTCGCGGACGATGCGCGTGATGATGTCCGAGGTGGAGATTCCCTCCGTCCGCTGAGTAGGCGCAAACATGCCTGTAGGCAAAGTGTGAGAGGTCATCGTGATAGACACACGGTACCAGGACATTTATAATAGGCATTCCTGCTCGTTGTCATGGTACCCACCCGCCTCCTTGATGTGCTTGTAAACGTCGTCCTGGCCTGCTGATGTATATGGGATGTCGTCATGGGCAACAAAGTCGATCTGGTGGGGTGGGGGGTGAACGAGAGATGGATTACATTATACACACACAAATATACACACTGAACACACTCTGAACACACTACATTACTGTCAGATTAATCAGCATGCCATTGCGTTCCATTTCCCCCCTCCATCCCTCCCTCCCTCCCTCCCTCCATCTTTCCTCTCTCTCTCACTCGGTGCGTGGAGAGGAACTCGGGCGTAAGCGTCCAGGGCGCGTTCCTGACGACCTCGTCCACGTAGCGGCAGTGGCTGACTGCATCGTAGCGCTCGTCCTCGTTCATCACCGTGAACCCCTTGAACTTGTGTGTCAGGTCGTCACTGCACACTGAGACGAGAGGAAAAGAAGCACGGAGGTTCAGGGGAATTGAATACACTTGAATTAGTTATAGTACTTTACATAGAGGGTTCTTGGAGTTATGCCTCTGAAAAACAATTTCCACTGAAGAACCAAATAAATGGACAGACAGTAAACCAGCAAGAGGGCACGTTGAGAGAGGAAAGGTTGACACAGCCAGAATGAGACACTCACCGCCCACAATGAGGTGTGTGTTCGGAAAGAGGCCCTTGGCCTGCATGAGGGCCCGGGCATGGCCTGAGTGGAACACATCAAAAATGCCATCTGCATACACCCGAACTGGCCTATTAACTGTGGGAGAGGGACATGATGGTGATGACAGCCAATCACAGGTCACTTCAATAGAGCAACATTCTATATATTTTCAGAACTGTTCATGTCTTTGGAATGGTACATTTGGGGTGCGAGTGAGAGTGATTGAGAGGTTGTGTTTTTGAGTGAGTAAGACCATGAGTGTAGTGTGTGATGTGTGTGTGCGACTCACATGGAGTTCCCCTCTTGGCCTCCTCCATACTGACTCGCAGGTATGGAGTGTCCTCAGCCGACTCTAGCTCATCAGCATAGGGGGCGGGATCTTTTAAACCCTAGTGTACGAATACACATTATTACCATGACAACCATGAGAAGGGTTTCCTTCATAAGAATCAAATGACTCACTTTCCTATCTTAACCAATCATATGACTCACTTTCCTATCTTAACCAATCATATGACTCACTTTCCTATATCTTAACCAATACACATCAACTCCCCGTAAACGAAGTCTGCACACACGCACACAGCCGCATTCTCTTCCTCACTCACCACGGTGGATCTTGGGACTTTCCCTGGCCGTTCTACCTCCTCGGCCTCTCCGTTGGACCCATCTCTCCTCCTCTTCCTGGACAGGCTTGACCGGCTTGAGCTGTGGGCCTCCATCCCGGGCTGAAAGGGCAAAGGTCACAAGCAGACACACACACTGTAACCACCATCATCTTGCTTAGAGAGCAAAAGCAATAAGATGCACAGTTTTGCTACTCCAAAAAAGAGAATTTTCTGTCTGCATGGACAAAAACAACATTCACCTGTAAGGAGTCATATTGCGGCTACTGAAGGTCATAGGCCTATTTGTTACAAAGTAAAGGTAACTGTCAAAATAAAGGAAACGCCAACATAAAGTGTCTTAATAGGGCTTTGGACCTCCACGAGCCGCCAGATCAGCTTCAATGCACCTTGGCATAGATTCTACAAGTGTCGGGAACTCTATTGGACGGATGTGACACCATTCTTCCATGAGACATTTCATCATCTGATGTTTTGTTGATGGTGGTGGAAAATGCTGTCTCAGGCGCCGCTCCAGAATCTCCCATAAGTGTTAAATTGGTTTGAAATCTGGTGACTGAGACACACAAACACACCCTTTAAACCCCCTATGCTCCTTGGAGACCCCTGTTTCAAAGTCACTGAGATCTCTTCTTCTAGCCATGGTAGACAACATAATGGGCAACTGGGCATTTTTAGACATTACCCTAAGCATGTTGGGATGTGAATTGCTTAATTAACTCCGGAACCACGACTGTGTGGTGGCACCTGCTTTCAATTTACTTTGTATCCTTCATTAACTCAAGTGTTTCCTTTATTTTGGCAGTTGCCTGTCTGTCATAGATTAGTCACTCCCCAGTGAGTCTACATTGAAATGCAATTCACACCAAGTAATTCCATTATCCACCACAGGGCGGCGTCCATCCACTAGGCACTACCAGGAGGCAGAAAGGTCGGGTGGTGTTTCTGCGTCTGCCGGCAGGGTCGAATGGTGCGGTTACATAATAACCCAGGCGTGTTCTCGGTGAACACATTCACTGGCCTTTAAATCATCCAAACTTTCAAGTCGACACTCATACGAACCCACAACCCTGGCGTTGCAAGCGCCATGTTCTACCAACTGAGCTACAGGGGCCTTCGCACTAACAAAAGCACTGACAGGTTAAACAATATATCACCCCACTTTAGGGTAGTCGAGTGTTGAAGACCGTTTGACGGCTGTAATATTCTTTAGTCAAAAGGTATTACTGGATTATGTAGCGGGTGTGAAAGTACATTGGGGAGGTGAAAGTACATTGGGGGGCGATTGCTCAACAAGCTCGGCCTTTCTTGGACAGCATAGTGTTTCAGAGATTTACATTCACATGTCATGTCTGAAATTGGTTGCTATAAGGAGAAGACCAAGGGCGATACATGCGATTTGCAAAAGTTATGTAAACTGGCGCCAAGCTGCAACAATTAAAACAACGTTCCCATAACAATTTACCCGTGTGTGTTCCACAGGATCAGTTTGCGACTTTAGACTACAAACATTATTCCATTCCAGTCTACATCATCTAGCATTGTGACTGTGTGTGTGTGCTTGTATTAATATTCTCATAGGTACCGGAAATCCCCAAAAGTCCCCACAAGGATAGAAAAACAAGGAAAATCCTCCCTCATTGAGACATTTCCCACTTCCCCACGAGGACAAAGGCTATTTTATACTTAGGGGTTAAGTTTAGGGTTACAATTAGGGTTAGGGGTTAAGGAGTTATGGTTAGGGAAAATAGGAATTTTAATTTTAAGTGTACACACGGATTGTAAAACGTATGGTAAACGTATGGTGTGTGTGTGTGTATGTGTCACCAAAGGTGTCACTCACTCCCTCTGTCTCCATATCTCTCTCACACACACAAACTTTGCTAGAAGATGATTGTCTGTAGACTGGAAAAGAATAATGCTTGTAAAGTCACTAATCACTAGCTACTAACTGATCTCATGGAAGTCTAGCCTACAGCTGCACTACGGTCTGCACTACGGTCAGAAAGGCTTCCTGTGTAGAGTAGAAGTGTCTGCATGTTTACCATCCGAAACAGTTCAGAACAGTTTGTGCATATATTATGATTACATTTTGGTCTTCGGCAAGGATTTTTTCAGTTGTTCTTGCACACTAAATCTTTTCTTGAAGCGAACCTTCGACCTTCGCTTGAAAAGACCTATACTTGAATAACAAGAAAAAAAGCAGCAATAGTACTGTTTGTCCATCTTGAGACACAGTAGCCACTTCCTCAAACTAGTCAGAATGACTCAAAGATACTCAAGAAATCTGTCATTCATTTTGACGTTTCTGCCAAGGAGATCTTAGGCTCACAATTTTACATCAAACTAGGATGTTTGGTTCAGTATTTCTCAAGTGGAAACATTTCCATGAAAATTAGCAATCTCTTGTTGATTGACAACAAACACTTCATTGAAGAATCCCTACTGTTGACCAATCACCAATGAAGGAGGATAGACTTGCCTAAAAAAAAAATGCACAGGAAGCCTGTCCGACCCTAGTACAGCTGTAAGCAAACAGTCGGATCTGCTGGCTACGATCTACAGCCATTAATTGTCATCTGATACTAGAGAGAAAGGCGGAGGTAGGGGTTATCACACGTAGCTAGCTTTCGTTTAGCTGACAAAGAGAGAGTGACCTCGAAGTGTATAAGTCCAGTCTTAAACTGTCGTCCATATTTTAGCTTGACTATCTCTGACTCAGATTTGACAATAAACTAAGTACGTAGCTAGCTAGGTAGCTAGCCAGTTGTGCCAAATACAACCCTATGGGAAACCAATCTGATCACCATAGCTAGCTGGCTAAAAAGACTTCGCTATAATATGATTAACGTACTTACCGTTGTTTTGTGCTTGGCCTGGGGTTTGCAGTGTAGAAGTAGCTAACGTTACTGTTGCAAGCTAGCTAGATCATATGCAGTGTGCTAGGAAAGTATTTGCTACCTACTGACTGTCAAATTGGTGCGCTCTCTGCTGCTAACTACGTTAGCTAGCTGTTGGTTAACGCTAAATTCAATAACTAGCTAGTAGAACAGTGCACCGACTCCCAACATTCAGGTAACGTTAGTCCAATGTCACGAACTGTGCCAGCAGCTCGATGGGAAGAGGAGGCGTGTGGTGTCGGGAGTAGAGCAGACGGATTATCACCACAGTATTTCTGCAGTCCTCGGAATGACAGTTTACTCAAAGACAGTACAGTAATTTACTCCACATAGGAACTACAACAACCAGGACATCTTTCCAGGAAATTACGTAATTTTTAATGCGTGGCCTGCCTGATGTTTCCGGTAAAATCTCTGAAGTCAGAGAACGTTATTATTCTGCCACCTTGTGGCAACTAACTGTTCAGGCAAATTCATTTTCAGGAAACTACAATAATATGTATGTATGCCAGTGGAGGCTGCTGAGGGGAGGACGGCTCATAAATGTCTGGAACGAAGTGTTATGATTAGAAAGGAGTGAATGGAATGGTATCAAACATCAAAACTATGTGTTTGATACCATTCCAGCAATCCAGCTATTATTATGATCCGTCCTCCCCTCAGCAGCCTCCACTGATGTGTGTGTGTACATACATGCAAATATGTTAGTATTTATTCTGGGTGATGATTGGTATCTTACATAAGAAAAGCACACAAAATAATGTACCAATTATCATTTATTATTTTCTCTCTTACATTGCCAGCATACTTTATGCACAGTAAAATAACCAGGTTGTCATTTACATCCAGCCCTTAATTTTTTACTTCTAGTGAAGATAATTATATTTTATCACGTAAGCTTATCCCGTGAGCCTTGAACCGTTTCCGTAAACATGAGGACAGGACAATGTCAGATCAACTATCCAAGCTTGAAGATGACCTCATCTTACTTTTGCTGATCCATATTCAACTCCGTGGACCAGTTGACAATCCCAAAGCCTCAAGAATAGGCAGGGCCAATCAATAGATACAAAATATTTAAAAGTAGATGAGGACTAGACCGCAAAATTAAGATGCAAAAAAATAAGACGGCTTATCATTACGTACCACTAATTTCTACCAAAACCATATAGAGTTCAGCCAACTTTTTGAACAGCGACTTTGAGCATTCCATTTATATGACAAGTATTTTTATTATAATTCTAGACATTCAGTTACATAGCATTGTTTAAAATTTAGAAAATTCCATGAACTGCTATTGGTCAATATTGCCCATGGGGAGCTAACATGGCTGCTATATGGAATTATTTGATTATACAGTGTCATGTAAATGCATCATAATGCCAAAACTTCAATGTCCCAAATTTCTAAATACATGGCTCTGGTTTCTACCATTGAGTTGTTCTTTTGGCATGAGTATTATATCCAGCTTCAAATCTTGTGCTAAGATTTGTGTTGCTGAATTTCTTTCCAGTCTGACCAAGGCATTTGGTCATACTACCAAACAGAAAACATGTTCAAAGCAAACAGAACATTTCTTTCAATACACTAAATTAAAGAAAAAAATTGTAGTTCATATTACACTGAAATTACAACAAAGTGGTGGCAAATAAGACTTCCAGAAAGGACCACTGAAAACAGAGCTCACAATTCCACAAAATGGCCAACTTGCCTGAGATTGACAGAACACATCACCTTATTATTTCAGAAACCCCACTATTGGAATGCAGCTTGAATGGCTTTTTTTGTGTGCTGAAAAATGTAAACCTCTATCATTTAAGGCACAAGGTAGGAATGACTTGACAGAGCTTGCCAAAAGTAACCAGAAAGACAAATAACATAGAAAACAAATTAAGAACAGAAAGTCACTAAAAGTGCAAGACAGTGGCTCATCGTCCTTGGCCTAGCTGTGTGCAACTTAAGAAGACTGAGAATGTTGAGTGAAGGATAATGGGACGTCATCGAGCTGAGAGAGGTGGTACTTGGTTGGGCGGATACTGAGTGGAATGGACGGGGGGGACATGTCATCCTACATGCCCATCCGAATGCTCTGAATGATCTGGAAGATAGCTGTGGAGAGCGAGAATTCAAATGTTAAGAAAACAAATCTACACTGGAGTTCATTGACAATTAATCTATCTGAGTCCCTCAAATGACACTAGAAGACCCTGACCCAAAGTGAAGGTTTTTATTCTCTGACGACAGTGGTCGTCATTGAAGCGCGGAACACTGTTGGGACCTGACCAGAATGTACTGTCGGAATAGTCTACCCTTTTCTCCTTTATTTTAACTCGCTAGTGTGACTATATCCCTCCTTTCCTGCAAGCTATTAATTTATGTTTCCAAGGAACTAATGTCATTGCTCTATTATGTTCTGCTGGAATCTCTGAAAGTGTTGCCAAACTCACTGACTACTAAAAGCCTGGACTGGGACAAACAACGGGAGGGGAGGACAAGGGAGTAAGCCAAAATGTCAAACCAGACATAACAGAAACAGTACAAACATATTATCTGACCCAGGATAAAATACGAAAACAGATTATCTGACCCAGGATAAAATACGAAAACAGACTCCAACAGTTAGCTGGCGGAGTTCTTAGAACACTTATCAAAACTTGTCCTTCCCCAATATTAGCTGAGGTGGGCAACAAGCGCATTGATATTGCCTGTTAAAAAGCAAACATTGACAAAAAGATACGTGTACAAAGGCTGACAACCCTATGGCTGTCAGGAGATATAGTGGTCCTTTGTAGCTCAGTTGCTAGAGCATGGATAAAGTAGGGATCCATTTTCACTGGGAAATTAGTAAAATAGTCAACAGAACTCACCTGATCCACACACAACAAAGATGAAGAGGGCCAACAGCCAGGGTCCCACAGACACCTTATCATCCTGAGGGTTTCTCTGTGAATCCAAATACAGTACACCTCATGCTACTGTACTAACATGTCAAAAGCATACATAACAGCAAACACGTCATGCTACTGTGCTAACATGTCAACGGTCAAACATGTATACGTCTCAAAAATGTAATCAGAAACATCCAGCTGTTTAAATAGAATGTAAACAACTTTGTATGATGTTACATTTCATGGATACTAATAGCAACAGCTGACCAAAGATTGAAAGCTTGAGCTGGGCAACTTGGCATATGCTATGGACACAGCATAAGTAAATGTTGGCCAAAAAAAATACAAAATAATTGCAAACAATCAGACAATTAATCATTCGCTTGTTACTCATTTTAAGTAACGTATTCCTTAACCCGTTTGCAAACCAAAATAAAATGGTTCAAATGTTACCGTAGATTTGGCTACGTTGCCTCTTTGCGTGATATTCTTGCTGTGTTTTTCGTTGGCCATACGAATCCTCTGTTTGGCGACCATCTTCCAAATAAGCAGGTTATGAATTATTTTACAAAAATGTGGAATTTTAGTAATATGGATAATCTGGCTCACTGGTGTGCAGTTGGCCCTCGTCTACTCTACAGTACAATTTTTTTCAAAAGGGAGAATAAAAGCAGGGCAAATGTCTACGTATACAAAGTCTTAAGCCCGCCCACACAGGAAGACCGCATTTCGAACTTGCAACGTATATTTGCTATATCTTTCCGCCGCCCACTGTGTGGCGATATAGTTCTTCCCACTTTGATCAATACACACTAGCGCTTACCATATTATTGCATTTCCTAGTGTAGTTTCACAATTCTAGTACTTCAACTCTTTCGACTTTGATATATGTAGTAAATGCAAACCTAATGCACTTGACTTGGATGGCTGCATTGACAGTGCCTTGTTAATTTCCGATTCATTTCAGTAGTCTTCATTCTTGTATAGGGGAAAATGTAAGGTAGGCTAATGGTCCCCAAACAAACAATGATCAGAATGTACTAATATATCCAATCCACAGTTAGATGACAGGCAAAGCACTGCACTTGGTTGGTTGTGTGCAGTGAGATAATTCAATTTTATAATTGACTTTACAGGTAAACGGTCACCTACTCATTGAACGCTGGTTGCGCATCAATTTTTAAGCGTTCGCTCTTGTGAAGCGGTCTTAAATGATGACGTGTCTGTATTTACCTATGCCAAAGAGTTTTATAACTAAACCAAGATAGACCACAGCCTGTAATTTAAATTGGGAACAAATTAGTCATAGTGGGCAGAACAAGCAAGGAGGTCGGCAGAGGCACGCACGAGCTAGCGAGATCCCATTGGCGCGTTCTAACATATATTTGCATATTTCCGTTAGGGAACGCCTAATCTGAGTGCGCGTGTGCAATAACTCAATTCGCCTTTGCACTCCTAAACAACGCAATATTTTGAAACTTTTGCAAAGGGAACAGAAAACTGTATTGAGATCAAATGTTTCACCGATGAGAAAATTAGCAGAATATCGGCCAAAATCCATCTCGTTTCATCTTCTCACACAGCCGGCCACTGGGCTTCCTCTCACTACCATATGTGGTAGTGAGTGGAAACGCCAAGCGGATGCTTCTCATTTATACATCCGGTGAAATATCTGTCTCATTGCTCTATCTGTGCGTATGCCATACTTCACTTGTGGAATAAAGTAATTTCAACCAACATGGGATGGACTAAACCTTTTTTTTTTTTAGATACATGGGCAAATAAATTACATTCTGATAACATAGAAAGGCATGTGTCTCTTTCTTCTTAGATTTTTTAAAGAAGGCGTGAAATCATAGACTTTCTCTGGTTGAGCAACGAGATAGGCTAGTAAACGTTTTTTTTGTAAGTGGCTTTAAATGTGATTGGGTAAACCTAGTTATATTGAACAAAACTGCAATGTATATTCATACTCAGAAAAATCACAGAATTTATGATACATGTACTTATTTTTTCACTGTAGTGTGACGTTTCACTGACTCCACTTCTTGGGCAATATGCCGTGTTCACATACTAGTCGGAACTAGGAAACTCTGAAATGTCCGACTTGCTAACTAGTTCAATCAGTTAGAAAGTCGGACATTTACGGATTTTCTAGTTCCCAGTAGTACGTGAACGCAACAATAGTTTCACAGAGCAGAGTGGGGGACGGGACTGATGCAGTAGTGAAGAAATCGTAGCAGAATGGCGGAAAGGTGGCTTCCCTTTTCGCTCATATTTCTAGGAGTTCTCTCCCTGTACTGTGCTGCGTCGGCTGATAACAGCGGCATTAAGAAGATGAAGATGCAATTTGCAACAGGGCCACTTCTTAAATTCCAAATCTGGTAAGGGAGGACAATACATTTTGAGTAGACCTCTGTTGTTCAGTTAGCATTAGCTACTTGCCCGTGTATGTCTAAACCGAAATTACATTTCCTGTCTCGGAACCAGAATCGTTATAATTTCCATGTAATCAAATTGACTGTCAAACGGGTGTAGCGTCCCATATCATATTTTTGTTCAAAACAATATCTAACCCACCTTTCCTGAATTAATTATTTATTTGGGGGTAACGAGCTAACGAACCTAGCTACGGCAGTGCAAAGCTAACTAGTTAAATCCTATTAGGTAGCTAGCGAGCTAATTCTGCTCAGGAAGTTGGATGGGTGCAGTCAAATAACCTTAATCAGCACAGTATTTTTGGTTAACTAACAACATCCACAAGTTTATGTAACTAAATGACGACCGTGTTTTGTCTGTTGTTAATTAATCATCTGTAGATGAGTTTGAAAAAACATAGTTAGCTACTCTACTTCCACTGTAATAGTTAATCCTGTGATTTGCGTCCCCATGTGGGCAATAACGGTTGGATTAATTTCTACCATATCAAGAGCATGGTATTAACTCTGTTCAAGGGAGATTTGTGTTTGGAATGTGAAATGGCTATATTCAGTAGTTTAATGATGGATGTGTGCAGTAGATTAACCGTGTGCCATACAATGAAATGTCACCACTCATGCATTACTGGCAACATACCAGTATTACGCATGGAAATTGCAACAACCAATCAATGATGACTTTGGACTCTAGTGTGTAGGGTTGTCTGTTTAAATCAAATCAAATCAAATTGTATTGGTCACATGCGCCGAATACAACAGGTGCAGACATCACAGTGAAATGCTTACTTACAGCCCTTAACCAACAGTGCATTTATTTTTTACAAAAAAAATAAAACAACAACAAAAAAAGTGTTGAGAAAAAAAAGAGCAGAAGTAAAATAACAGTAGGGAGGCTATATATACAGGGGGGTACCGTTGCAGAGTCAATGTGCGGGGGCACCGGCTAGTTGAGGTAATATGTACATGTGGGTAGAGTTAAAGTGACTATGCATAAATAATTAACAGAGTAGCAGCAGCGTAAAAATGATGGGGTGGGGGGGCAGTGCAAATAGTCTGGGTAGCCATGATTAGCTGTTCAGGAGTCTTATGGCTTGGGGGTAGAAGCTGTTGAGAAGTCTTTTGGACCTAGACTTGGCACTCCGGTACCGCTTGCCGTGCGGTAGCAGAGAGAACAGTCTATGACTAGGGTGGCTGGAGTCTTTGACAATTTTGAGGGCCTTCCTCTGACACCGCCTGGTATAGAGGTCCTGGATGGCAGGAAGCTTGGCCCCAGTGATGTACTGGGCCGTACGCACTACCCTCTGTAGTGCCTTGCGGTCGGAGGCCAATCAGTTGCCATACCAGGCGGTGATGCAACCAGTCAGGATGCTCTCGATGGTGCAGCTGTATAATTTTTTGAGGATCTGAGGACCCATGCCAAATCTTTTCAGTCTCCTGAGGGGGAATAGGCTTTGTCGTGCCCTCTTCACGACTGTCTTGGTGTGTTTGGACCATGATAGTTCGTTGGTGATGTGGACACCAAGGAACTTGAAGCTCTCAACCTGTTCCACTACAGCCCCGTCGATGAGAATGGGGGCGTGCTCAGTCCTCTTTTTTTTCCTGTAGTCCACAATCATCTCCTTTGTCTTGGTCACGTTGAGGGAGAGGTTGTTGTCCTGGCACCACACGGCCAGGTCTCTGTCCTCCTCCCTATAGGCTGTCTCATCGTTGTCGGTGATCAGGCCTACCACTGTTGTGTCGTCGGCAAACTTAATGATGGTGTTGGAGTCGTGCCTGGCCATGCAGTCATGGGTGAACAGAGAGTACAGGAGGGGACTGAGCACGCACCCCTGAGGGGCCCCCGTGTTGAGGATCAGTGTGGCAGATGTGTTGTTACCTACCCTTACCACCTGGGGGCGGCCCGTCAGGAAGTCCAGGATCCAGTTGCAGAGGGAGGTGTTTAGTCCCAGGATCCTTAGCTTAGTGATGAGCTTAGAGGGCACTATGGTGTTGAATGCTGAGCTGTAGTCAATGAATAGCATTCTCACGTAGGTGTTCCTCTTGTCCAGGTGGGAAAGGGCAGTGTGGAGTGCAATAGAGATTGCATCATTGCGGTATGCAAATTGGAGTGGGTCTAGTGTTTCTGGGATAATTGTGTTGATGTGAGCCATGACCAGCCTTTCAAAGCACTTCATGGCTACAGACGTCAGTGCTACGGGTCGGTAGTCATTTAGGCAGGTTATCTTAGAGTCCTTGGGCACGGGGACTATGGTGGTCTGCTTGAAACATGTTGGTATTACAGACTCAGTCAGGGACATGTTGAAAATGTCAGTGAAGACACTTGCCAGTTGGTCAGCACATGCTCGGAGTACACGTCCTGGTAATCCGTCTGGCCCTGCGGCCTTGTGAATGTTGACCTGCTTAAAAGTCTTACTCACATCGGCTACGGAGAGCGTGATCACATAGTCATCCGGAACAGCTGGTGCTCTCATGCATGCTTCAGTGTTGCTTGCCTCGAAGCGAGCATAGAAGTGGTTTAGCTCGTCTGGTAGGCTTGTGTCACTGGGCAGCTCACGGCTGTGCTTCCCTTTGTAGTCTGTAATAGTTTTCAAGCCCTGCCACATCCGACGAGCGTCAGAGCCAGTGTAGTACGATTCAATCTTAGTCCTGTATTGACTCTTTGCCTGTTTGATGGTTCGTCGGAGGGCATAGCGGGATTTCTTATAAGCGTCCGGGTTAGAGTCCCGTTCCTTGAAAGCGGCAGCTCTACCCTTTAGCTCAGTGCGAATGTTTCCTGTAATCCATGGCTTCTGGTTGGGGTATGTACGTACGGTCACTGTGGGGACGACATCATCGATGCACTTATTGATGAAGCCAGTGACTGATGTGGTGTACTCCTCAATGCTGTCTGAAGAATCCCGGAACATGTTCCAGTCTGTGCTAGCAAAACAGTCCTGTAGCTTAGCATCTGTGTCATCTGACCACTTTTTTATTAAAAAGTTTGGCTGTGGCCAAGTGTATCTAGCCTCTGAGGACTGTGTGCTTTTCTGAGTGTGCATCACTGTCTGTTCCCCTGACTCTGGACCTGCTTGACTCTCTCTCCAACTCTCACCCAGCATCTCCTGAGGGTACAAGAGGGTGTTTGAGGAGTACATGCAGGCCTTGTACCAGCGGTACCCAGACATCCGCATTGAGGGAGAGAACTACCTTCCTCTACCCCTCTACCGGTAAGTTACACTCAGCTATGTATTGGCCATTGAGAGGCTTTGAAGCCACCGGTCGGACATATTGGCCCTCCCCAGTAGGAGCAGTCCTCCATAGGAATAAATGGAATTCTACAGTATTTCAATTAAATGTTTCAAGGACAAAATTACATGTATTTAAATATTTGTGTTGTAGTGGGGACAGTTACATTAGTAATCTAAAAAAAATCTACTTTAAGGAAAATGTTTGTTTTTACCTTTTATTTTTAGCTCACATAATATAATTACAATTATGCATTAAGGTGTCTGTAATAGAATAAATATTGCAAAAAATAATGTATACATTAATAAATTAATTTCTATAGGAGTGCCAAGATGGAGGCACAGTGGCTTCAACACAGCGCTCCCTATCAGACTACTACTGTATATATAAAGAATTGGTTAACACTGTGTGCCACCATGGAAGCACTTGACACTTAAATTGGAAGCGTATTGCAATGTATTCTCCCATATGTGGTTGTTAACAACAAATTGACCCTCAGGTTCCTGATCTGTTCTGGGCCGCCGGGTGCAAAATCCATTTTCTTTGTTGACGATTTACACCTTGATATCTGCCACTTGTACAAAGCCATTGGTTGTGCGTACTGTATGTTCTACCCTCTCTTTGGAAGTTGACATCTTGTTTGCTGTCCTCAGACACGTTGCTTCCTTCCTGTCCATGTTCAAGCTGGCACTGATCGGACTGATCGTCATCGGCAAGGACCCCTTTGCCCTCTGCGGTATGCAAGCCCCAGGCATCTGGATCTGGGGACAGGAGAATAAGGTGAGACTCTCTTAGGTTAAAAATGCTACATGAAACTTGGTGTTAGCATCACAGGCATACCATATGTTATTGTATAACAATACTCTGCAGTTTAAGTAGAGCCATGTTGATTTGTGTTTATTTAACTCAGTCCTTAAGAGATACATTGAACATGTAAGAGTAGTCATGGACAAGAATAGTCACTACCGAGAGACACACTCTCTCTCACTCACACCTTACCCATGGGAGTTCATTAACGCCTCATTTGGGAGAGTGAGAAAATGATGCAGTGTTTGTTTTTGTCGTTTTCCCTGGCTATGAACCTGGATCTCCAAGGTAACATGAGTCAATGGTGCTGAAGTAGAGGGCACGCAGTATTAAAATCCCCTCCATATATACAGTGAGCTCCAAAAGTAGAGCGAGAAAGTTACACACACACAAATGTCATACCCCCAAGACATGCTAATCTCTCACTATTACAATAAAAGGGGAGCTTAGCATTTTTTGGGGGGGTATGATATTTAGGACTAACTTTCTCACTCATCATTGTTCACGATTCATTCAGGATTATCTGTAATCATGGTAGCATCCACATTAATGTAGAAGTGTTTAGAAAACATTTTCTATTCTTATTTACAATAAAAGTGACTCCAAAATGACACAATACATTATTTTCCATTCATTTCTATTGGGCACAAAATAATCTGAAACAACCAAAACAAACAGCAAATGCATCCAACAAGTTTGTAGAATCACAATCTTGATGTAATCATTGCGTGCTAGGAATATGGGACCAAAATACTAAACTTTTGACTACTTTAATACACATAAGTTAATTTTTCTCAAAACTTTTTGTCCCCTAAATTGTTCACCCGATATGGTTCACCCGAGATGGATGAAAATACCCTCAAATTAAAGCTGACAGTCTGCACTTTAACCTCATTGTCATTATATGATTTCAAATCCAAAGTGCTGGAGTACAGAGCCAAAACAACAACAAATGTGTCACTGTCCCAATACTTTTGGAGCTCACTGTATATGCTAAACACTGTGGGCCAATAAGAATGTGCCTGGGTTATGTAAGCAGTAACACAGGGGCACTACATTACTCTTGTGTGTTCGTCCGCCTATTGCTATAACATGTTGGCGTTTTATCCTTGAGCTGGGTACACAGACGTAGGGCTATGGAACAATTTGAGATTGTTATCTACACTTAACGCTTACATGTTATATACCGACTTTCTAACTCAAAGTATTGAATTGACAACCAGCAAACCTTGCCCCATTAATCTAAAATCCTGATGTGTAGACATAATTTATCTATGTGATATGTTAGACATGCCCCAGAGAGCATGGAATCCATGGCAAAACACTCATAATCGATTGGTGATGATATTGAATTTCTACTTCTGTGTCTCTTTCAGATTTATGCCTGCATGATGGTGTTCTTCTTCAGCAACATGATTGAAAACCAGTGTATGTCAACAGGAGCTTTTGAAATCACATTAAACGGTAAGGCTCACTTTGCCACATTACATGTTTGCATGAGTATGCACAAATCCTTTACGGTCCCTGCATAGACGACGATGTGCATCATTGTAAAACATCACACAGAAAAGAGTGCGGAGAGTTGATTTGTTTGTACCTACCTGGGCAGATGTGCCAGTGTGGTCCAAGCTGGAGTCGGGTCACCTGCCCTCCATGCAGCAGCTGGTCCAGATTCTGGAGAACGAGATGAAGATGAACGTACCCATGGACACACTCCCCCACCACCGCTCCTAACCCTGCCTCTGCTCCCCCTCGGATGGAGCCAAAGACCCCTCCACGTACGGAACCCTCCTCGCCACATCTTCTATCCACCTCAGTCTGCACAGTGGAAAGAACCACCATCTCTCACACACACACTACCTCAGACTAATTTACTGTGTGGTATGGGGTTTGTGCACTTTCATGTTGTATTCACATGACCATAGTTGTCAATTTAGAACTACTCAACCTTGCATCAAAAGTTTGGGTGTCATTTATTTGACAGAACTTCAAGGACTTTCATTTTAGGAGGTTTTGGATGCGCTTGATGTACTCACTTTTCGGTCTCTTTTTGTCCTCTGCAGGTTTGAGGTGGGTTTCTCAATGGACTGTGAGGTGATGTTAATGAAGGTCTGCGCTGAAAGCAGGAAGACTGCTAGCTCAGACTGGATGTCCCCATCGCTCCTCAACACGCCCATTAGACGCCCCGCCCCTGATGCTGGACTGGGATCCACGGCAACCGCGACGGCCATTTTGTTGTACTATTACTACTGCAGATCATTAATCTTGTTGCAATAAACATTCAGTTTTGTCTCTTATGCTCACAAGGATCAATTTAAGCGCAATAATATTGATGTGGATGGTCAGATATTAGATTAATATAGATTATTTTCTCCCCCCTTCCAGATCACAGGTCTTGAATTAGCCACACATAATCGATCCATGTGAGCTAGGCATGACCATAGGCGGCGTGTCCATAAGGCTAGGGAAGCCAAGCTTTCCCTAAAGTAAATTGAATTAAATTGCCAAAATGATATAGCCTAATTACCCTACCCCTGTCTATACAGAAATAAAACATTAATTTAAAATGGGCTACTAAAGCATAAATCATGATTTGGCCACAGCGGGTCATAAGCATTGCTTACAGTCGGAAGGAAAGGCAGCGCTCGGCAAATGCCAAATTCATGAATTGTTTAGTTGCGACTGTCGTTGAAAAGCAAAGGCCCAGCCAGGCATATCGCAATATTTCAAAATACAATCCCGGGAAACATAGTTTGGAAAGCAAATGGTTATTTCTGTAAAGAGAAAACGAAAAGAGAAATGACTTTTACTATCAAAATTCTCAACTTCATTGAGCGAACAACAGTATAGGCTATCTTATTGGCGCCAGCGGAGAGCGTGTGCACTGTGCATATTCACTCTTTATCATTCTTGGGTAAGTTTGTTTTTGGACCGTTTTTATCCTTGTGTCTCTCCTTCTCGTAGGCCTATTATATGGACAACGTTGTTTTTATTGGTTTGTTGGTCAGTGTCAGCAGAGTAGGCTAACTTGTTTGTTAATTAGTTGTATTAAAAACAGATTCTGCTAATGTCTCCATTCACATAAAGTGTAGTAGAATTGCATCTTGACAGCGGAGTAAAAAAAAAAAGGTTTTGAGTTAATTTCCTGCAATTCTACCCATTTTGCCATGAGTTATAGAGAAAATGTTGCAGTTTTAAAGCAATTCTTCCATGGGGCAGAGAGAAGATTTAGCAATTGAACTAATTAAATGCAATTCTACTCATTTTGCCATGGGGCGTTGAGGAAAATGAGCTGTTTTACAGCTAATTTCCTGCAATTCAAATTTTTTTGCCATAGGGTGCAGAGAAATGTTTGCAGTTTAATATGAAATGAGTGAGACTGACTAACAAAATCAATGGTGGCACCCGGCCGGTAATTTGACCATCATAAGAAGTCTAGATAGCTGGCTGCTAAACTAACTTAGCAATCAAAAACAATTTAGTTGACATGGGCTGACTATCAGTGACTAACATAACAAGAGACAGTCTGCTGATGTACAACCAAATGTAGAAATAGCTCCTTGTGTATTCTACTATTCCGAGGGCCGCCAGTTGCCCATGCCTGGCCTAGGCCTACTGTACGCTATACACGCTCAGCCATGCACTGAAGTCTTTTTTGCGAACGGTGATTGAGTTATATTATTGTCCTAAATTATGACTATCCAATCAACTCATCCAATTACAAATAGTAGTCTATTTTGCATAAGAGCAAATGCGATGATGCATGGAATGCTTTATTATAAAAGTGCATTTCTAGGGTGAAAATTAGCTTCCCCAAACTTAACTCACACGCCACATATCGTCATGACGTTTTTCTTTTGAGCCATTATGTTTAACCATTGTTAGTGTACTACACGTAAAACATCTCACGTCGTCTGATCATGAGCATTTTATTAACATTAAAAATAACATTGTTATTATTGTAATTTGTATATTTCTTTGCATAGCTGGAAGTTGAGCTAAGAAGACTAATAAAATGTCTGTTATGGTGAAAGAGTTGTGTGAGCTCGGTCTGCTTTAGCTAGGACAAGGTTAACTGATTTTGGTTGTTAGTATGAGGATTAAGAGAAACCCACACCAGCTGTTTTTCAAAGGTTAGGTGTATAGAGAATTCCAGGAGGGGATACATTTTTGTAAGAAACAGGTTCACATTTTCATCGTAAAGACCTATGTAAATGCAGTCAGAAAACAATGGCTTAGCAGATGTAAAGTATATTGAAACGTATTGGAAATGTATTGATTAGAAATTTGCACCCTTCAGTAGTTATGGATGACTACAATAGATACAAATTATATTGAACGTACACTATATATATAAAAGTATGTGGACACCCCTTCAAATTAGTGGATTCGGCTATTTTAGCCACACCCGTTGCTGACAGCTGTATAAAATAGAGCACACAGCCATGCAATCTCCATATACAAACATTGGCAGTATAATGGCCTTACTGAAGAGCTCAGTGACTTTCAACATGGCACCGTCATAGGATGGCAACTTTCCAACAAGTCAGTTTGTCAAATTTATGCCCTGCTAGAGATGCCCCGGTCAACTGTAAGTGCTGATATTGTGAAGTGGAAACATCTAGCAGCAACAACGGCTCAGCTGCGAAGTGGTAGGCCACACAAGCTCACACAACTGAACCGCTAAGTGCTGAAGCGCGTAGGGTGTAAAAATCCTCTGTCCTCGGTTGCAACAACCTCTGTCCTCGGTTGTCCTCGGTTGCAACACTCACTACCAAGTTCCAAACTGCCTCTGGAAGCAACCTCAGCACAATAACTGTTTGTCGGGAGCTTAATGAAATGGGTTTCCATGGCCGAACAGCCGCACACAAGCCTAAGATCACCGTGCACAATGCCAAGCGTCGGCTGGAGTAGTGTAAAACTCTCCGCCATTGGACTCTGGAGCAGTGGAAACACGTTCTCTGGAGTGATGAACTCCTGAGTGGCGCAGTGGTCTAAGGCACTGCATCGCAGTGCTAACTGTGCCACTAGAGATCCTGGTTCGAATCCAGGCTCTGTCGCAGCCGGCCGCGACCGGGAGACTCATGGGCGGCGCACAATTTGCCCAGCGTCGTCCAGGGAAGGGGAGGGAATGGCCGGCAGGGATGTAGCTCAGTTGATAGAGCATGGCGTTTGCAACGCCAGAGCGATTCCCACGGGGGGCCAGTATAAAAAAATATATATGTATTCACTAACTGTAAGTCGCTCTGGATAAGAGCATCTGCTAAAATGTAAATGTATGAATCACGCTTCACCATCTGGCAGTCTGCGACGGATGAATCTGGGTTTTGCGGATGCCAGGAGAACGCTACCTTGCTCCCTTGCATAGTGCCAACTGTACAGTTTGGTGGAGGAGGAATAATGGTCTGGTGCTGTTTTTCATGGTTTGGGCTAGGCCTCTTAGTTCCAGTGAAGGGAAATCTTAACGCTACAGTATACAATGACATTCTAGACGATTCTGTGCTCCCAACTTTGTGGCAACAGTTTGGGGAAGACACTTTCCTGTTTCAGCACGACAATGCCCCCGTGCATAAAGCGAGGTCCATACAGAAATGGTTTGTCGAGATCGGTGTAGAAGAACTTGACTGGCCTGCACAGAGCCCTGACCTCAACCCCATCGAACACCTTTGGGATTAATTGGAACGCAGACTGCGAGCCAGGCCTAATCGCCCAACATCACTAATGCTCTTGTGTCTGAATGGAAGCAAGTCCCTGTACATTCTAAAAATTAGGGCTTCAACAAGGGTTCTTCTAAGATCTTCAAAGTTTGTTGAAGAACCTTAGGATTCTTGGCACTGAAAATTACCCCCAAAAGGTTCTTCCAAGAACCCCATAGGATGTGGAGTTCATTGAGGAACCTCCTTAGTTGGTGGGGGTTCTTGCAGGAACCTAACTGCCCAACTGAAACATTTGGATTTGAATATGAAAAGACAGCAGGTGCAGACACTTTACTGAAAAATATAAAGATCTCCTCAAGGTAAGGTTTGTCCCTTATATGATCGAAATTGATATTGTTTTATGATGATACCATCTATCTTTTCATATTTGTGCAAATTGGTATTGTTTTATGATGATACCATCTATCTTTTCATATTTGTGCAAATCTTTGTAAAACAGAAAATGGACACAATTCAATGGATTTCAATCAACAAAGAGGTAAGAATATGTCTGCTATAAGAATATGTTGAAGGCTAGCTGTATTGGGTGGCAGATGACTGAACTTTTGTTTCTGTGTCTGTAGGTATACAGAGGAGGAGGCATACAAAGGTATGTCAATTGGTATTGGTATGTTATGCAGATCACATTTACCATCCTCCTCCCTTACCTCTTCAAGGAAAATCCCATAGGCCTCTACATTATGGACAAGGTATGTGAATGAAAACCATTATCGAAACGTTTCTTTCATTCACATTTACCACAAAACCCAAGGTATGAATACTGTCATGCGCATGCCTTGTTAAACATCTGTATAATAAAAATTTTTTGGATTTACAGACTTCACCCTCCCTACACCTCTGATGAATATAACAGGAAACCTGTTCGATCACCATGCACTGCAAAATCATTCTGGCGATGGATACAGAGAATATCAACACATTAACATCAACACGCCAGAGGATATACCCATTGGACTTGGGGCTCTGCTGGGAGTTTACCTCATATTTTTTTATATTTTATTCTGCTTTGCTGCTAAA